TTACTTGTATTACATAAAACCTAATAAAACAATCTGAGGACCCAGATTGTTGGGGGCAATATGCTGACTCTCTGTAAACCGCTTAGAGAGGGCTGAAAGCCCTATGAAGCGGTATATAAGTCTACTGCTATTGCTATTGCTAAAACTACTTGTCAGTTTTTTCAAATTAATTCTATCATAGAAACCAATGTTTATGACTTCTGACAAAAAAAAATAGAAGCTTGGAAAGCAACTTAAAGATTCTACTTTAAAAACCCTTTCAAATAATTATATTGAGTATTTTCCAGTTGGAATCAGAATTAATTTAATTTTTTAATATTCAACATGACTCTCCTAGAAAAAGTGATTTTAATAAGGCAAAATGCAATTTTTCATACCTAAACCTAGTAAGTTATAACTGAGGAAACAAACATTTTCTATATCTACCTCTTTCAAAATAATAAGGCCACAGTAAAATATATTATGAAATATACCTCTAAAATATATAGACAGGTTATTAAGATTCAGTATCTTTTTAACATCATTTGAAAAATCTTATTCAATTATGAAAATTTAGAATTAAGTAAGAGAACCTTGGGTGAATTTTGTGTAGGGTATGTGAATGATTAATTGAAGGATATTGTGAGCTATATTATTTATTTGAAGACCCTGAATATTTTTATTTTTAATCTGAATTGCTAATAGTGACATTTTATAGTGTTTGTGTGTGTGTGTAAATATATCAAAGCATGCCACGTAGGACTTTAAAGGCCAATATAAAGGCAGGAAAAGAACGTGTTTCACCTTTTCAGAATTACATATAAGATATACAACTTTATATATCAATCCTGTTTATTCTGTAGTTGAAAAGATAGTTATTAGAAACTAATAAAACAAGCAGGTACATTTGAGTTCCATTTAAGTAGGATACAAAAAATAAAATGAGTGAACAATTTTATTTATTTGTCATATTTACATGGCTGACAATCTCACAAACAATTGACTTTGGGTGGCATACAACAAAACTGAAAATAATATACACTAATATTATTAAAAACTATAAAAATGTAAAATTAAAATCATAAAAGTTATATAACTAAAACAACTTTTTTTAAAAGATTAAATGCAGAGAGATGTTAATTACACTGAAGTCATCATAATATTTTGCTAGCCCCTAGGGTCTAAGCGACTTCAGAAATATTAAAAAAGATGAAGCTAGTGTCACTTCAGTGTGAAGGATGTTCCATGAAGCAGAAGCCTCAACAGAAAAGGCCTGCTGTCTAGGACCCACCAAATGAAGCTCACCAGCTCATGGTAGCCACAACATGACCTTTCTGGTTGATCTAGTAGGATAAGTAAATGTAATTGGAGAGGTAGCCCCTCAGATAATGTGATCCCATTCTATGTGTAGAGCTTTAAAGGTCAAAAAAAGCACCTTGAATTGGATTCAGAAAGACTAGTAACCAATGGAGCTCACGGAGCAGAAACGTAACATGTCTTCTGAAATTATGCATAACTACCCATTGAAATGTGTTTGAATATGAGTAGCTCAGGTTGGTAGTTAGGCTGTTGGTTTGAACTCCGAGTTTGGCAATTTGGTTGCAAATTTTTCATCAATTCAAAATATATTGACGATGTCTCCTCAAATGGTGACAAAATGTTTGCAACCAAATTGCCAAGCTCGGAGCGCAAACCAATAATTACCCATTATAGATATTCTTCAGGAGAAACCCCATGTTGCTACTGAAGAAAATATAAAGCATAGTACAGTAGTCCAACCATGAGATGATTATGACATGAACAAAGCTACTTGATCTAGGAATGGGAACACCTGATGCACAATAAAGTTGAATATAGGCTCTCCTAGCCATGACTCATAGCTGCTGCAGTCATTGTAAGACTAAGGAAACTCCCAGATCACACACAAGGTTTGTGTAAGGCAGTGCAACCTCATCAAGCACCAAATATAGCATAATTCTAGAACGGGCGATCCCAAATCCAAACCCATTCAGATTTGCCAGGGTTCAGTTGAAGCCTCTTATTACCCATTAAGACCCGCACAGTCTCTAGGCAACAGCAGAAGACAGCCACAAATTTGCCTAGTTCGCCAAAGGCAGAGGTGTATATTTAGATATCCTCAGCAAACTGATGTCTCACTCCTGGGCAATAGATCATCTCACCCAGCAGCACTCCACACAGTAAGGGCTTCTTCCCTATCACTAACTGGAATTGCTCCCTAAGAAAAGATGCAAATGCACAACACCATACCACCTATTCCCAATCCTCTGAGTTGATCCAGAAAGATATCATGGTTGATGGTATTGAAAACAACCAGAACATCAAGCAGATTTTCAAGCAGAGTAAGGATGGATGCAAAACTCATCCTGCTCATGCTAGAGATTGTTCAATAATGCAACCAATGCCATTTGCATCCTGTATCTGGGTCTGGATTCTGATAGAACTGGATCAATAATCCAATTTATCTAGGGCCTTCTGAAATTCTCCAATACAATCAGGTCCAGCAAAGGCTTCCTGAGCAGGGAGAAAACCATGGCCTTTTTAAAGAGATAATGGAACAATCTGCTCAAATGACCACTTGAACCTACTTGCACAAAATCTTCCTGCCCCCTTAACCAGCCAAGAGGGGCAGAGGTCTAAAGAGCTGGTAGCTGAGCTCAGAATCCTAAGGACTATGTAAACTTAATCAGCTCATTAGGCTCAAATAGTTTCCAGATAACCAGGAAAGATTCCTGCCCAGATATCTCTTCATACTTGCAAGAAGGCCAGCATTCAACTCTTAGCACATTCAGGTGAATTTGTGTAATAGACATTGAGCAAATTCTTCTGCATGAGGAAGGCATGTGTTATTCAAAAGAGCAGGATGGTTTTCAGGGACACAATGTGTAGAAAAGTGTTGATGCTTTTCTGCTCTTACTATCACAATGTACGCCTTACTAGCAGCTCTAACCTGCATCAAGTTCATCCCTATAGAATGCCAGAAACACGTTAGATGTCTCTCCTTTCATTTCAACCCCCTTAACTCCTCCATGAACTACAGTGTGTGCCAGGATCCACAAGACATTAGAGGTTGCATTCCTGCAATCAGATCAAGACATCAGTTGCCCTCTTATTCCAAGTGGTGGCCATGTCTTCAGATGGATGATGCAGCAGAGCAGCAGGAATAACCCACAAATCCCTCTGAAACCCATCAAGGTCCATCAGTTGCCAGGAATAGACTAATATAATGGGTCTAACTTCCTTGCAGTGGATGACAGTGTCAAGAGAATCCCATGGTAATCAGTGTGTAATATTGCCATGACAAGGGACACCAAAAGCTTCCCCAATTTCAGATCACATAGTAACTGCTCCAATAGGAATACCAGATCCATGTGTGACCACTGTCCAGTGTCAGATTCTGGATGTTCTTATGGCTGTCCTGGTGGCTATGAACTCTTGGATCACCTGAGGCCCAACTCCCATGGAAGGCAGATTGAAGTCTCCCAAGACCTCTCTGCCAACTGAGATGTCAATGAACTCCAGCAATGAATAAAAAAGAAATCATAAATGTTCTTTGAAAATCATTGAAGAGCAGTTTAAGTGTATTATTGTTTCAATAATTAAATATAATTGTAAAAATATTGTTGGCATTTCCTAATATTATTTATGTACCTCACCTGTATACTAAGATTAGTATATGTTTGCTCTGAAGCAGAGACTTTCAGCTCTTCACACCAGTACTCCTTTGCACGATAAACAAGCTGGTGTTTTTCAGAAGAAGGTGGCAATATAACTCCTTTCATTGCCAAGTACTTGAATATTATCTCTCGAAATACTTTCTTTCTTTTCAACAGCTCTTCAGTACTTTGACTGTACAGCAAGATGACATTTATGGCTTCTATAAACAAATTCAGAAATAGATATATTACCTAAAGTTAATTTTATTGCAAAAGACAACTAGCAATTTGTTTGTAAATCTAAAATTCTGAAAATATATTTCTGAATTATAAATATGTAACATAAAGATGGCACTTTTGCTGCTGAATCTGCTCCAAGAATTTTTTATTGTGGAAAGTTAGCAAAAGACATAGCACAGAAAAAGCCATTCTATAAAGATTGTTAAACATAATTATTAGTAATTGTGGATTAAAGAATCAACTTCCTGTGATTTTTGCTGAAAATGTAGAACTTTTTCATCCACTGAAAAAGAAAAAATCCTGTAATCAAGTCTCATCATCCCTAGTGAAAAAAGCAATATGTTACCCATGGCCTATGAAATGCCCCACAAATAAAAGAACTAGTCAATAAGAAACAAAACTGCCACTCATAATCCATAATTCTGTAGCTCACTTTTTTGTCCATCTAGAAAAACTCTTGACTGGACCTTTTGAAAACCACTTGTAATTAATGCATCAATATTGGCTTAGATGGGCAATTATGTGACACAAACAAAGCAACTTCCTATATTATGCTTTGTAATGAAACTTAATTTAAAAAGATATAGACAGATATAATTACTTTTTAGAAAACAAGAGGGCTGGATCAAGGTATATATTTCATTTAAAAAAATAGTTAAGAATTACACATTACTCTGAATCCTTGTCAGCAATTTATACTTTTGATTCTTTGTTATAGCATATTATCATTTTCTCAACCTTCTAAAAACTGAAGTTTTCCTATAGCAAGACAATAATATTTACTGTTTTGAACATAAGCCTATTACTCATTTGGTGCATTTTGAAATATAGACCAATAGTACACATCGTTAATGTGAGAAGATCGTTTTAAGAAGCTTTATTTTGGCTATAAAGATAGAATGGAAAGTGAATATTTCTGCTTCGTCTGGCAATCAAAAGAAAACTGAATAAAACTGGTGCATTTTTAATTATAAAAATAAGCATATTAAATAGAATTAATAAGGTTCTCAGCGATTGCAAGATCATGAACACCACTAACTTTAATATTGTTCAAATACTTAAATTATTATTTACCTACAAGTTAAGGCAACTCTTTTAAAATATACTGTAATGTACTGTAGATGTACTACTATTACTTATATGAAAGCTGTATGAAATCATCAGTCAAGTAACAATACACCCAGCATATGATTTTATCATAATGGTTTGCTCTATATCTGGGGCATATTGCTTTCCCCATTGATCTATAAATACTATCTGAACAAAGAAATTGGCATAATGCACTAATTTTGTCTGCTAATATATTTAATTAGTAAAATATTTTGTCAGAAGACTATAAGAAAAAACAGATTACAAACAAATGTACAGCTAATGTTTTCTTTGACAGTTTTTTCACTTTGTACCAGGATGGTGAAACTACTGCAATTTTAGTTGCAATAGTTCTCCATGTAAGATTTTTATTGAAACACCTTATTTTTAAAAGTAAAAACCTGCCCTAACAAAATGATAAATTGCCTTTACATTCTGGAAGTTCCTATCACGATGCTTTTACAACTCTTTTCACACTGAGATGATCATTGGTTTGAAAAATGTTACTTTTAAAACATGTTTGAAAAAGGTATGGGCATTTTGCTCCTGTAACCAAAACACAATACTAAGAAAGAGTGATTCAAAAATATAGAGAATCATAGATATTTTCCATAAATTACTCTGGCTAACCTTAACCATAACAGCCAAAAATTATATCCGATAAAATATTTGTTCCACATTTATTTTATTTATTTATTTATTTATTAGACTTATATACCGCTTCATAGGGCTTTCAGCTCTCTCTAAGCGGTTTACAAATTATTATATATATATTTTTAGCAAATTGAGTCAGCAACTTGCCCCCACAGTCCGGGTCCTCATTTTACCCACCTCGGAAGGATGGAAGGCTGAGTCGACCTTGAGCAGGTGAGATTTGAACCGCTGAACTGCAGATCACAGTCAGCTAAGGTGGCCTGCAGTACTGCACCCTAACCACTGCGCCACCTCGGCTCTTATCATGTGCCACCATCAGCCTTTCTTCAAAGATGTTTAAAGAAAAGTGATTATCGTTGATGACTAGAAGTCACAGTGCCTGGCGCCAGTTTTCAAGCTATTTTCAAACTAAGTTATCTGTTAATAAGGCGATTTCTATGGCAAAACGTCTGTGCCTCGCCAGTAGGCGGGAAAGAAACCTCACTGTATGAATTCAGCTGAAGGATGTCGCAGGGCCAAAATACTTCTGGCACAGCTGAAGAAGAACCCCTTATTTAGACTATAGGAGGGGTGAGGAAACGAGCATCTCATTCTGATAAGTGGTCACAAGGAAGCACCAGGCTGGAATTAATGAATCTCAAGCCAAGAAGTATTTTCCAGCAGAGGCCTCCTTCAAACTCTCATCAGGGTACCGGGTCGTTCTAGCCCCTTAATATACCTTGGCGGTTGCTGGGCTGCACGAGGCGGCTGGTCACCGTGTCCGCTAGAGCCAGCAGGTCGTCGGTCTGGAGCAGTTCCAACAGCTCCCGGCAGCCGTCCCGCTCGCGCTCGGTCATCCCCGCCCCAGCCGAAGCCATATTGATGGGGGGGGGGGGAGGAGCGTTGCTTCTTCGAGCGCGAGACGGGAAGCCCAGACCAGCAGCGCGCAGCTGGAGCGGCTGCCTGAAACCTTGACAACTAGCCACGCAGGGCGTAACAACGCCACTTCCGCCTGTTATGTCTTACGCCTCCTCCCCCCTCCCCCAAATCCTTCCGCGCTTTCGTAAATCGACCAATCTACACGGGGAGCGCGGGTGAAAACTGTCCGGCTTGGAACAGAAGCGGGCTTTGTAGTTCCCTCGCTTGGATTGGATGCTCTATTATTAATCTTCGTGGAGGGTTTTTTTAAAAATTAATTTCAGTACTTCAACTATTCGGTAAGATATATGGCCCTTTGAATACCAGCTCTGGTTTTGCAAGACAAAACTTTTCTCTATCTTGTGCTTTCCTGTTTTACAATTAGTTTTTTCCCCCGAATAAATGTACGTAGCTGTTTGTTGTAAGCGTTGTCTAAGTTTTGTTTTGGTACTAAACTCCAAATAATATTAACCTATAAAACGTACGTGCCCGCCCGCGTTTCTTCTATAGTTATTTTATTTCACCACAACTTATTTGTACATTATTCTTGGAGAACCATGTCAAATGTGACGACATTAAGACATATCACAATATCATAATTGGTTCATTAAAAAAACAAGAGAGTGATGCTATCTCTATTCAGATATTTCCAAGTTAAATTTCCATTTTCCAATGCCATACCAAAAACAAAATTGTTACCAACATACGTTTCCCCAAATATATGAATGTAACAAAAGGGACTAAATGGGTACTACGCACACGTTTTGACAATATATAATATCCCAAATATGAGTTACAATGTAAAGCTAAAGTTTTTAACAAAAGGAACTTCAGGACACAAAGTGGAAAACAAAGTATGATTCTTTCATTGCAAATTAATCTTGTGAATGAGTCAGTTTAATACAGTGGTTAAGGCATCAGACTAGAAACTGGGAGATTTCTAGGTCATGGGCCAGTCACTTTCTCATAGCCATGGGAAGGAGGAAAAGGCAAACCACTTCTGAAAAAAACATGCCAAGAAAAGTGATGGGACTTCGAGGCTCTTGAAAACTGGGGGTGATTGAACAGAAGAATATAAAAATCTTGTTAATAATTCACAGGAAGGACTTCTATTCCCAATGAACAAATAAGCTCACCTCAAAAGACGCTGATCAGAGAGAAAGCAGAAGAAATACTTTTACACAGGTAAAGTACAAGAACATGGTTCAATTTGGCTTCTCAAAATCCATTTGTCCGCTCAATATTATTGGATTTTTTAAAATCAGTCTGTAACTAGAACTTTTGTTTCCAATAAAAACCTTAACAGTTCATATTAAATTTGCCATTCTGTACTGTGCAGTTTTTCATATTACCAAATTGTGCATTCAAGCAAGTTAAGTGAATGTTTACTTAATTATCACCTGCTTCAGGATATAGTTTTGTATTAAAGCTATACGAAATGTCTTGCTAGCTGCTGTATAGCAATATTGCACCTAACAAAATCAAATCTTTTTTTTCAGAATTTCAGACATATCTTTAATATTTTATTGAACAATAACATTTTATTGAACAAATCTATTTACAATACAAAAAATTTAAATGAAATACTACTGTTGATTTATTGCAGTTTGATGGCTCAGTTTTTATTTGTACTCGTATAAAATGCAGAATAAAATAATTTAACCATCAAGAAGGAAGCACAAATTTCCTTACTTGTTAAATCTGTAATTGCTTTTACAAATTAAACATAAGAATTCAAAAATACACACACTGCATGTAATCAAGGTGTTATACTGCGCAAAATAAATTAAAAATTTTTTTTGAAGTATTTCATCCTACACCTTGGCATTAAACAAGAAATGCTGAATCTTGTCCTACATTACTCAAACTATACAGTTCTAGATGTTTAACTGAATATGGCTAGACCAAAGTACCAGTAACCTTTCCCACAGATAAGCATTTCAAATTTGTTTTATAAGAGATGGCAGAGATAAAATAGCCAGATCAATACTTTTTGCATGACTGAGGATGCACAGAGTCTTGTGACAAACCAAATGTATAAACAAGTTTGAGACATCCTTTAAGAGTCAAGTCTTCTAAAGGCTATGATTTGGGAACCACTGTCAATATTTAGGGTAATGGAGGATCTGTTGTAGGTACTACAAGTTATCCTTAAAAAGAAAAAAATAATTGTACCTAGCTTGAGTCAGATTTAATGGAGATGCTTGAAGTAAGTACAGTATAATTTTTATGTAATGTCTTATTTATATACCTGGTATCTAGTTAGAAAAACTGTCAGCCATGCAGTTTCTTTACTGAATAGGAAGATTAATTGAGTAGCATACCAAGTGTTTATTAGCTGATAAAACATGGGGCAACACTAACAATCATTCAACTTTTAAGCTTTAATTTTTAAGATGACATAATCTTAAATACAGCAATAGTCTTCTTGTGGCTATGAAAATTTTTATTCTTTGGGTGGGGTATGGGAACCCTAGCACATTTTCAATTAGGTCCCTAAGCACTTCATAATTATTACTGCTGGCTTACACAAGCCATTTGAGAAATACCACTTTTGCAATACCAGTGGCAATTCTAAATTAACTAGAAGAGAGAACATTTCCTGCAATAATAAAAACTTGCCAACGACAAACAAGTGTTTGATTGAAGTCACTCATGTAACTCTTCTTCTGGATAAAAAACAATCAGTATCCTGTTTTAAAAGCTGGTGGAAAGTCAAAATACTAATCACTTACAAAGGGCAGTCAACACGTTTTCCAAAAGTATGTATTTTAGAATATGGAGGTAGGCTCACAGGTTTAATTAATAACTCATAATAGTATTTAACAGCAATTGGGAATACCTTGAAATTAAGTATTGCAAATCTATTTTAAAGTATCTGACAAGTCAACACTGAAAGACTGGTGTCCTAGCAATGCTGCCATTTGTATAATTTATCCTAAGTATTAGTTTGGTGGTAAAGCACAATAAATCAAATAGTGTACCTTAAAATTCCACTCAACTGGTTTTTTTTATTAAAACATAACATAGCAAGTGAGAAACTGAACCTTTTGCAGAAGGTTAATCTTCCCTTTCAGTTTAATACTAAATATTTATGATGTTACATAATTTGGAATTAATTTGAAATGGAATGTTTTCCTGAGGAAAAGGCTTATATTTTTTGGATATAAGTCTGGATACTTAAATAAGTATATAAGTCAAGAGTGCAGCAAGACACTAAAACTAAAGTTGGTAGAAAAACTAATGTTTTTCATTTCTAGAAAATTAAAACCCAGCTTAGGGAATACTGAAGTATAGTTACCGATTCATACCCACAGCACTAATTATCCAGCAAGTGTCAGTACCAGGCACATCTTACTTGGGCTTAGATTATAACCTTGAATTTGGCCTGGATGACAGATCCATAGGAAATAACAGCTTGAGCTAGTCAAAAAACATAGAATAAAGTAATAGCAAACCATTTTATGTTATCATTTTGAAAAGTGCACAGCTGTGTCTATGTAATAACTAAAAGTCAATCTTAGCATGTTATCTTTAAAACATCATCACCCCTAATGCAGATTAAGAAATGAAACACTAAAACTGCTAATACATACTAAGGTCCAAGAAAATCAATGTTTTATTTTTGAAAAGTCAGTTTCATGTATTGATATATTAAAACATGCTGTCATTTAATATTGCCAATTTTAGGACTCCTGCACAAGGAAAACCTATTCTCTAATCTGACCAAATTAAATAAATTCCAATTAAGACACAATTGAAGACTGAGATTTGCAAATAACTCCCATTTAATAATATAAAGTATTAAAATATTTTAATAAAATCTCCTATATAGTAAGATGTACAAATATATTACAAAATATATGTTTTTGGATTTTAATTATCTCAAAAGTAGATAACTTAGGTACCATATTTGTGCAATTTTGCATGACTTACAAAAGTAAATTGAAAAAGGTCTGTTCGAGTTATAATTCAAATTGTTTCAACAGTAGCCTTTGACACTTAGCATAGTCAAGCACAGCTTAATCTGTGTAGTTATTAAAAATATCATTTGGTGCCTAGATATCAGGATTGACCTAAAAGTGGTTAGAAATATAATTATATTTTAAGCATATCTGTGTTCAAAGTTTCATACTTGTTTCTTGAGAAAAAAATGTCCTTAGTCTTTATGAATGATTTTTTTAAAAATCTACTCACTTACCTGAGAGTAAGTACCATTAAACTCAATGGGACTGACTTTGGAGTAGAAATGTGTAGGATTGCATTGAAAATATAGCTCAGAAGGTCAAATAATTTCCATTTAAAAAATTGTAATCCCTTTGCAAATATTTTCAAATTCCAGTGATCTACAAGAAAGATCTTAATTTTTATTATGAAAAAGTTATTTTTCATAATAGATATTTATACACCATTGTTTTTAGAGAAAGGGATATCTTGGATATTTTGGGATTAAAATACTCTGCTTTTATATGTGTACTATTTTAAGAATAAGGATTTTAAAGCTTAACTTTGCAAGGCACAGTGCAAATAAACAATTTATTTTTACTGATTAAGTTTGCCATGGGATTTTATATGTATGCTCACTTCAAAAATTATTCAGAAATGCTTTGAACTTCATTATATTGTACTTGCATAGAAGCCTGACAGAAAGACTGCTTAATGAATAATAGATTCTATGCTCAAATTACTTCCAAATTATTTTTATAGCATGCACTTGCCATGGTAGCATTTGAATGGATTTCTTAAGAATGCAATTGTTTCATAAAGAAAATTAAGTGCAACTTTTCAATGTTGATGCAATATGAATATAGTATTGTATCCATAGTGTCTTAATGTCAATTTAAATCAAGTGTGGCCCTTTTTAATTCATTTTCAATACAAAAGTAGATTTTAACAGGTGTAACTCATACAGACAACCTTAAAAAGTTTATGCTTAAAATTTATACGCCAGCTGAATTCAGTTAAATTCTAACCATATGAATTTACTATTGAGCCTAAAACTGCTTTTTGATATCAAATATTGTAGCTGTTTGGATTAGCTAGTTCTTGTTAGGAGTGAATTCTATTTATACATTCATCATGATCAGGTCTTGAAAAACTTTGGTGCACTTGAATGCAGTTTAAGTAGGTGAATTTGGAAATATCAAAGACATACTTTAGCCCTTATTGTATGCCTTAAAACATTTATTAAGATACACTGCCCAGCACTGTTTTTTTCTTACATTCATCAGTTCCATTTCCAAGGTACAAAATATACCATTGCAAGAAGAGTCAACCTCTATACATGGATCTATTTTTAATTGATCCAATTTTAATGCACAGCAACATTGAATGTGACTCAAACTAGTTTTATCATACAGAATGGCTTCCTTTGAACATACAGATTCAGAAAGAGGCATGTCCCATAGGCATTTTTCTCTGGAACAATTGTTTTCAGTCAGCATGAAATCTTTTCAGTATACAGCCACCCAGTGAATTTACCTAAGAGTAGAACTATGCAAGAACTTGTGGCTTTTAGATAACTGGTACTTTGGGGGTTTAAACAAAGTTTGCTTGTTTTCTGGATACTAATACTGCACGGCTCCTACTATCACTTAGTTGTGACCCGTGTGCTTTAATTCTCAGAAAGATCATGATTTTCTTTAGTAATTTTAGACTTCTTTATAATTAAGGCCAAGAAGGGAAAAGCAGGTAGATGCAGAATATTGTAGTGTTCCATCACTACTCCTCAAATGGAGAAGTCTTCATACATCATTTGCTCAGGCACCTGCAAAAAAAATTAAGTTGATTAGTCCTTTGGAATTTAGTATCATACTGAGATTCAGTCATTTATTTTTCCTAAACAAAAGTGAGATCCAACAAATTAAATGTTTTTTTAGAGAATATAGATGGTAGCTACCATATTTTTCCCAGTATAAGACACACATTTGTTCGACCCCCCCCCCCCAAAAAAGAGGATGAAAATCTGGGTGCGTCTTATACTCTGAATACAGCATTTTTGGCCTACTGAAACTCTGCCCCCTTTCAAAAATGGACGTGCAAAGGGTTTGGGAGGCTTGAAAAATGCTCCTGGGAGCTGGGGAGAGCAAAAATTAGCAAAAAACTGGCATTTTTTCTCATTTTTGCCCCCCTCCCCAGCCCCAAGGACCACTCTACAAGCCTCCCAAAGCTCTGCATGTCTTTTTTTTTTTTTTTTGCCAAAAATGAGGCGTGCAGAGAGCTTGGGAGGCCTACAGAGTACAAAAACGTTTTTTTTTAATTACTTCAAAATCATGGTGTGTCTTAAACTCCAGTGTGTCTTATAGTCTCAAAAATACAGTAGTTACCTTTTTTTCTGAAGACTTCATGAAAACATTGAAACACTGTAGAGTAAGCTTCATAATTTTACCTGGTCAAGTAATTTCAACAATGTTACGCAGTTAAGTGCTGTCAAAACTAGCAAAAATTCTATTACCTGTAATGTAATGCTTTTTCATAATACTACTGGGTTAAGGCAACACTAGATGCTACTATTTAACATAATATGTAATATAATTTTATTACATTTTTTACTTTTTTTAATCCTTTGCCTACCAGTGTTTGTATCCATTTGTTTAAATCTCTTGTTTAACATTTTATTGCTGTACAAACACCTAAAATTATACCTAGTAAAATTGTAAAACTTACTTTCATCATCTGAATCGAATCCAAAAAGTGTCCTACACTTCTTTTGTGCAAGATGACGCTGAAGTGCTTCTGAGTTACAGTAGGTGGTCAAACATTTGCTGCATCTTAGTCTTTCTGATTTGCTACACGTTTTGCCTTGCTCTGAATGTGCATCTACTTTATCAGTCAAAGTTTTTCTTCGTTTTGGCATGCTAATATATCGTTCATCAAGGTAACTCGGAGGCAATGGTCTAATATAAGGCTTTGTTAAAATTAAGCCGTACGATGTATTTTCTGTTATCTGATTTGGTTTAGAAAGTGTCTGAGAATCCACAAGAGTAGTGTCTGATATATCTGTACAGTTCTGCAGAACAGGTAGAATAGATCCATTTTCTGTCCTAGTATTGGCACTCGTCGTTTCCAAATCAGCATCCAATGTGGCTGTTGTTTGTTCCAATTCACCATGCCCATTGACTAGCTGATCATTAAGTTTACAGCTTTCTAAATTTGGCTCTACTTCTTCAGGTACCTTTTGGTCTATTAAGTTCACAACTGTGATAGCACTACCATATGCATTTTCATTCCCATTCTGGATTAGATTATTTACTTTTTTCTCAGCCTGGATATAAGTCTTTGGTTCTAGAGAATCTTTCCTTGCTTTCCAAGTGGGAATTGGCAAGTCCATTATAAGCTCCTTTTCACCACCATTATCTGCTATTTCTTGAATAGCACACTCAGATTCCAAAACAACTGAAGAAATATTTTCACTGACTTCAGAAGGATTTGCTATGTTTAAGTAATGTTGAGCTTCATGCTCATATAACAATGAAATGTCATCAAAAAGTTTACAACACTCTGCAAAGTTACACTGAGCTTTAAACTCAGTATGACTTTTCATATGTTCTGCAAGCTCAGTAGACAGCTTAAATCTCTGATTACAGTTAAAATGCAAACAGAAATATACATTTGGATAAACATGTTGTTTCAGATGATCAATAAAATGATGGGAATCCAAAAATTTTCTCTGACAAAATCTACATTTTCCATTATTCCATTTCATTATATGCTCTTGCACATTCAGATCAGTAGGATGAGCCTTGCGTGCATGCTTATTCAGAAACCGTATTTTTTTAAAGACTCTAATACATCCATCTGCAGGACACTTGAAATTACTTGTGTGATCTAAATCATTTTGAGGACAGAGCGCACCATTTACTTTGTGAAGTATAGGGAGTTCTCTATTCAGGCTGTTTTCTGGTGATTCTTCTTTCATTTCCACCTCAGGAATATTATTTGAATCATTATCACAACTACCATTTTCAACAACATCATCCTGGCTACTAACATGATTTTTGGTTACATCCAGTGCAAGTTCAGAATTCTGTATCTCCTGATTAGTAGTTGGAATGACTAGCTCCACTTCATTTTCTTCATTTTTCATTTCAGTACTGTCCAAGTCCCCATTTTGAAGGGGGACATCAACACTAGAACAGTTCATTTCATTTACAATAAGAGTTCCTTTATCAACAGAAGTTGCAGTCAGATGATGCAGTGTCATTTTCTTGATGTGATTCTTTAAGTGCTTAAGCATTATACTTTTTTGTCTGAATTTTCTACAACACATTACACATGAGAAACTGCCCTTCTTCTGATGAGCCTGGGCATGCCTCACAATATGGCCACCAACAAATTCTCTGTTACATAATATGCAACGATGTTTTGGTACATTGTGATCAGTTTTAGATGAATTAAGAACTACATGGTTCTTTTTGCAATTACCATCATTTTCCAATTGTGCTTCAGAAATATCTTCATGGCCTAGTTCTCCATTGTTTATCTCAGATATACAAGATTGATCACTCCGCAGTGCTCGACGTGTCTTTGATGTATTTGCAGAAGAAAGCTCACGTGGACGTTCAGTCAGTTCAACTGAGGCTTTATCTCTTAGCAGTGCTAAACAGTTCTGTTTGATCATCAAAAAATTCCAAAATTCTGGATCAAAAAACAATCCCTTTTTCAAAATTGGGAGCAACTCAAAACGTACACGATTCTGAACTGAACTTATCTGTTCATTGTAGTCTTCATCTGTACATTTATATAGCTGTTCAATAGTATAATAGGACTCCATGGTGCGCTCAATAAAAAATATAGAAAGAGCACATATTCGCACTATTTCTAAGTCACTTGGCAAAAAGTGAGCAATGGTTTTGTATATCAAACATTTCATTTTTGGATCATCATGAAGATCTAGCTGAAGAGCACTTCCACAGATCTCTACACAAATCTGTAGACCTTCCTTGCCAATCTGTGAGAAAGAAAGGAAAGGTAGAATAAATTCAGAATACTTAAGAGTCTCTGCATTTCCTTCCGCAGAGCTCATATCTCAAAATTATAGCTCAGTGATACAAGAAATGGTTCCAAAGATACAATTCCCAGCATCCTTAGGGAGAAACTGGATATAAAACAAAAAATCCAAACCCTAATATACAGAATTGGTGAAAAGTAAATATTCTTAAAAGTATTGCATTAGAGAAAATATTGCAAAAAAATTAAAAGGTACATTCATTTTAAACTTATCATTGTACATTATATTTTCCTATAACAGTAAGTTCAGTCAGTTGAGTCAAACCAGTTCATGAATGGAAGCTCTTTCAATTCTAGAAAACTAAATTTTGATCAATTTTTCTAAATAGTTAAAGCAAGTGCAACATATAATTATATCTTTTAAAATACAAGGACAAAGAATTTGTTATAATTCTTAAAAGTAATTTAATTACTAAATTAAGGTTCAGCCAAGAGCATTAAAATAATGCAAAGGCTTACAAAGTTGTTTTGGAAAGTGCTTGAAGTGCCTCCACATCAATGTATCTAGAAAAATGGGAATTCATGAATACACAAATTGAAAAATTAGAAGCAGTTTCCAACGCATCTGCATGAGCCCTATAAAAAGATTACTATTTCAATGTTCCTGTGTGCTGCAGATCCCTATATACAGAATATTTTATTCTTGCCCTATAATAAAACTTCAAAACCTAAACTTCGTAAGTACGGCTAGGGTACTATTTGCTGTTCTCCTATTCTAGATATGCAAATAAAATATTTAGATAGTATCAATGAATTCTTTTAACTATATAATAACATAACATGCAATATTTAATATTGGTACTTTTAAAACACATATCTGAGGCAAATGCTATTACTTACTTCATCCCTAATGACTTTCATGAAAGGGAAAATAACTTGTAAATTTGTAGCTATCCTTAAAAGATGGTAGCATTGATCTACAAATACTTGCTTTGATGGGTTAGATCTAAGTTGCAGTTTACTCCAAATAAAGATCAGCTCCCTGTAAAACAAAATGAAGCTTATTATTTTAGGAACCAAGATACCAATCATATGCTATTTATCATGTTAATATCTATGGTAGATATAATTCAGAGTTATAAAAATAATGACATAATTTGTGTCATTTGCATAATGGTACTATTATGCAAATCAACTTTGAAATGCACTCTCCAATTCAATGGCCATTTATTAAAACCAGCCACATCCCACATCCTCCAATTAGTGTATTAAAATAAATTTTCACTGTATGCAAATTCTACATATGGATGTATGTAATATTATCAATATATTTATATTATTCAAAAAGCTATTTGAGAGAAGTCATAAATAAGTGGTTGAGCCTAGTTTGTCTGCAGACCAGATTTCCAGCATCTATAAATGTAATAGGAAAACTCCAAATCTCTAGAGCAGTGATCGCGAACCTTTTGGGCACCAAATGCCAAAAAGAGAGTGTGTGCGCTTGTTAGGGCTGCCACCCGGAAGAGGAGCTGCCCAGAGGGCATGCATGCACTGGAAAATGAACTTCTGTTTTCCGCAAGCTAGTCTTCCAGTTACTTTGTGCACGTACACACGCAACAATCAGCTGGTTGGTGCACATGCTCATGCTGGAAGACCAGCTCTTCCAGTTCTGGTACTGCTGCACAAACGAAGGCCAGCTGATTGTCATGCACATGCGCACCAAAAACCCAAAACAGGAACGGGTGACACTGTGCATGCCAGGCGACATGGCTTCGCATGCCACTTCAGGCATGGGTGCCATAGGCTCGCCATCATGGCTCTAGAGCCTTTACCAATCTATGTGACATTTTTAGGTAGTCAGCTTAAGTATAGGCACTTTTGCATTCTCTTAGCTAATTCTCCATTTTTGAATTTTTTTAACAATTAAAATGTAAGGTATAGTTTGTACAGATTAATGAAATTTTGATCAAGTTTCATAAAAGCACTAGCCATAAATGAAAAGTTGTAAGAAATTAACTTAGAAAAAAATAAGTTATTTTCTAATTGTCAGTTAAGTAAATCAATAAGATTATCCAATATTTTAAGCAATTTATAACAATACAAAAATATCCAATACTTAGATTTCACTAATATATTGAATTGATGGATTTTACGGTCAATGAAATTACATTGAAGCACTCTTTATTCTTAATAATTAATTAGGTGTTGACCATTCCTTTATAATTTACTCGTAATTTATTTTTATTATAACACTAGTGTAAAGCAGTATTATTGAAAGAAAAGATTTACCAGATGCAATACATATCCCCTTTTTTGAGCTGTGGAATAAGAAACAATTCACAAAGATTCAATGCTACAGCAATCTTCCCTTCTTTTGCAATGTTGCAGATGATTTCAATGCCATTCTTGCAGTCAGTCCTCAGCAAATGCTATGCAATCAAAATGAGATAACTCAGTGTAGTAGTAAGTGTAGTAAGAAATAGGCTAACCTTTTACAATAATTGGAATTCCTAGCTCCTATTACTAATTCTATTACCCAATATAGGAAGCTAATAACACAAGGGAGAAGAGAAATATATACAATAACAAGAATTTATATAGGGCATATTTGTTTTTTATTAATTTAAACAGAATAGTGTTACTCCTATTTTTCATAACCAAATTTCCCATTACACTACTTGTTACTTGGCAATCTTAGAACAGGGTTAATGAAATGCTAATACTAGGAAATAGTTGTCCAATATTCAAAAAATATATACAGAGTTGTGATTTATCTATATAGTCATAATACAGGAATATTTTTTAAAAAAAAAAACAGGCGTTTATTTTGCTTAACGTGAATTAGATTTCTATCCCTTTATGAAGATGTATCATAAAACTGCATTAAAGCTGACAAACTGTACCTCTTGGAATAGGTGATCTTCTAGCGGAGACATATAAAGACACATGAAAAATGCTTGATGGAAGTAAAGATCTTTGCTAATATTAGGATGATTCATGCAAGCTTTGATAAGAGCCATTGCCTCTGGGATGCGTTCACAGGCAATAAGATATCTGGCACGTAATTCAAAGAACAGTGGATTTTCAGAGCTTAAATATTTGTTGACTGGTAAAAGAAAACAAATAATTCAGTTATAAAATATTAACAGTAGGTTATATAAAATCACGTTTACAAAATATTGGAAACATTATATTAAACTTATTAAAATTAAAAAGTAGATAATCTATGTAGGTTTTCTTTTAAAAACAGATAAGAAAATGTGACCAGTATAATATTACTATGACACCAATGTAAAAAAATGCAGTTTACTATCTTCCTTTTGTTGCTGTCTCCCCTGCCCCAATTGAGTGAGGCCATAAATTTAAGATGTTTCTTTCTGACTAAGGACTGGGGAATTTCAAGGACATATCCTAAAGATAGCCATTTCACCCATTATAACTCCTACAACTTCCTTCCAAAATGGAAACATGTAAATCCTAATGTAAAGAAGTGCAATCTTCTTCTACAATAATAACAAATAGCATTTCTTTAACACTGCTCCAAAATATGGACAAATAATTTAATCCTTGAAACTATTTATTTAAGACCATAAATACTTTAAATTAGAATGTTGTTCAGTGAGTTCATAATGTATTCCTATGAAAGTAACACAGCATTGCAGAACATATCTGCAGTTGCAATAAAATGATTTATTATGTGCCATCAGGTCAGCTTGACTCTTGGGAGGCTGATAAATTTTGTCCATGATGTAACAAGATGCACACATAAAATTATTCTTTAATCCTGTGCCCATCTCAGGACCAATAACTATAAAATCAATGCAAATTGTTTTCCATGCATAAGAAATAATCTCAAAATCCATAATATATTGTACAATAAATTTTCTTATCTTTCAGCCCAACTTTAGTCTTTACTTGAATTAGTTCTATTCTGTTATTAAGAAATACATTACAACATTCACTGCCTGGAATCAATTATAAAGAAATGAAATAAAAATTGCCTATATTTAACATTAATTTAAATTTTGCTATTTTCAATACATATGGAAAATGATTTGTACCTAATTCCTGAGAAGCTGATCTTCCTTTAAGAACAGCTTGTAATACAGGATCCTCCCAAGGTCCACCGTCTCTGGTAATTCGAGTCACCAATTCTAAGTTAACATTTTTGTATCTGCTGAGTCGATTCTGGCAATCCTATGGAGGAATAAATAGTGAACATTCAAGTACTTAGAATGTACCTGGGAATGTATCAGTACACTGCATATACTTCTTAGTTAACCTAAAGCAAAGATTTCACCATTTTTAGCATAAAGTTAGGGGCTACAACAGCACTAATTGCATATTTGCCAAAATGTACTAAAACTGACTGCACCATACTTTTTTTATTACTTGTCCCAAAGGAAATGTTTTAAAAATGAAAAGTTGAGGAGAGTTAAGTATCTTGTTTCCCCGAAAATATGACATGTCCTGATGACATTTTTCGGGTGGGCAAAAATATAAGACCTCTCCCAAAAATAAGCCTCCAGGACAACCATCCCCTCTGGCCAGGCAGAGCACCGCTCACCAACCTAGCAGTATCCCAAATGTGTCAAGCCGTGGAAACCGTGGAGGAGGGGCGCAAAGGTCAGGGGTGGGTTTCAGGCGGTTCGCAGCAGTCCCCGCGAACCGGTTGGTCGGCGAACCCGGAAGTAAGTAACTTCCGGGAACGCCGAAGGATCCACCCGCCCGCCCGCATTTCTTACCCGGTTTTGACAAGTTCTGCGCTTCCACGCATGCGCAGAACGCATACAGTACCTGCACGATCCTCCAGGAGCAGCTGGAGCATCGCACAGGCGCTAGTACACATGCGTGCACTGCGCGTGTGCACGAGGACGCCGCCGGCCCCGTCCAACCGAACCGGTTGGAACGGGGCGAGAAACCCACCCCTGGCAAAGGTGATCGCGTTGCTTAGAACCTTCGGGATACCACTAGGTTGGTGAGTGGCGCGGTGCCCAGCTGGAGAGGGGGGGTTAACGGTGGCTGCTCTCTTTTGTGCAGGCTCCCAAATAGCCGGGTACAACCTCAGGGGTGAACAGCTGTGATGTGCTGTCGCAGCAGCACAACACAGCAGCCATGAAGCCACCACGAGCAGCCACCCAGCAAACTCCCTTTCCAGCCGGGCACAACACCATTCACTGATCTTGGGGTATCGCCAAGCCGCGTGAGCACCTGTTCGCCACCGCCCGGCTCCTGCAGCTTGGCACCTTTAAAATTCCAGTGAATGGTGCTCTGCATGGTTGGAGAGGAGGTTGCGGCTTTCTGCTCCCACTTGCGCGCCTCCCAGCCTCACAATGCTCTGGCCCAGCTCTCCCTGCAGAGCCAGAGCACCTCCGCTGCCTCCACCATCCCAGCATGGCTTTTTTGGTGGCTTCCAAACCGAGTCTTCCAGCAGTAGCCGCTCTGAGCGTACGCTCTATAGTTATACGCTCTGGGAGTACACTCTACCGGCTCACAACCATAGAGCATACACCCAGAGCAGCCTCTGCCGGAAGACTCGGTTTGGAAGCCGCCGAAAAAGCTATGCTGGGATAGCAGCGGCAGCAGAGGTGCTCTGGCTCTGTGGGGAGAGCTGGGCCAGGACATCGTGCGGCTGGGAGGTACATGAGCAGGAGCAGTCGCTCGTGCAACCCCCCTCTCCAGCCGTGCAGAGTGCAATTCACTGGCATTTCGAAGGCGCCAAGCTGCGGGAGTCGAACGGCAGCAAACACGGCTTGGCGATACCCCAAGGTCAGTGAATGGTGCTGTACCTGGCTTGAAAGGGGGTTTGTTGGGTGGCTGCTCGTGAGCGTGATCACTTCATGGCTGCTGGGTTATGCTGCTGCGACAGCACAACACAACCGTTCGTCTCTGAGACTATACCCGGCTCTTTGGGAGCCCGCTCACAAGAGAGCAGCTGCCCGGCAACCCCAAAACAATGAGCCCTCCCCTGATAATAAGGCCCAACCCATATTTTGTGGGTCAAAATATGACCCTGTCTTATTTTCTTGGAAACACAGTAAGAATTCAGTAAAATGAACAGAACTGAAAATGTAACTGATGAACTAATTTGAAATATAATTATTATCTGTTCACAATAATACAAAGTCACAGTTGCCATTCTTTAGCTGGCGTTGGCCTTCATATTGATCAACGTCTTCTCAAAAAACTAGGATGTCATTATGTACATTTGCAGATCCATGCAACATGACCTTTTACAATTGACAGATAGAAATTTTGTCAATTCACAGATTTTGTAAGTGCTGTCCAAGTATTTTGGTAGGGCACCCAGTGTGTTAATAACCACTGAGATCACCATGGCTAATTTATGCTATCATCTTTCAAATTTTGATTTTAGATTTTGATACTTTGTGATGTCTCCTGTTTTTTTTCTATTCCACTACCCTCTGCTATTGCCATATCAATTAGCCACACTTTCTTGTTTTCAACCCAAAATTTTCCTCCTTCCTTCCTTTTCTTTCCAGCAGGCAAATAAATGACCACTGCTGGGTGAGGAAAGGAGACACTGGCTGGGTGACCGTCACAGAACATGAAAACAAAGATAACATGACTGCACCAGCACAGAGGCAGTCAGCAGCATGAAGCACAACTTCCCCAAAATTGATTCCCTTAGACACATCCTGTATATGTTAGCCATTTACCTTACCTTGCTTCAAAAACTATTGCCCTATAACACACCATTTCATCCAGTTTAAGTCCATAACAATGAGAGTTTAGTAATATATAGATATCACAAATAAGCAATACTTTAAAAATAGTGTATTAGGCGCTAAGCCAAGAGCTATTGAAAATTTCAACATGGGAAATATATAGGAAATATATAGGAAAAAATGTTTATGAATTTAATTGGCAAGGATTATGTAGCTTTGCTCCTTACTAATTAACATTTTCTCAACTGTCATTAAAAATTTATGGAACCTCTACAGAGGGCAAGGAAGAGAGATGGTCTGATACAATAACAGACTTTAAAGTCACAAACTGATTCCTACATGAATTTGATATTAACAATTAATTATGTTATTTATATACAATTCATAGCCTTATGCATTGACTCAGAATTTCTTATTTAAATTTTAAGTTATTTAGAAACTGAATTTTTGTTTTTGATAAAGTTCCTTATCCAGGTAGTCCGTGACGCCACAGCAACTGGATCCAAAACTTCCTGTCACTAAGTAGTACCATCAGAAAACATGATCACATTGCTTGGCAATAGCAATCCCTGCAATCCCATTTACTGTTGTTAACTCAATCCCATGGTCTTTAGGCAAGGCAATTTCCTGCTGCTTCAAGGTCAATGGGGGAAGCCAGCAGGAAGTTGCAATTCCCACACCCACAGGCTAACAGCTTCTGCTGGATCAGGGAAGAAGAAAAGGGATAGGTGTTGTGGAGATGGATCAGAAAGGGTACACAATAGGTATGACACAGTGTGTGTAAAGGTCTGCGAAAAGTGCCACATGAGTAGGGGTGGGTGGATGAAGGTGTAGGAGGGGTTGCACTAGAGGCACTAAATGAGCCAGGAAGGAGATGTGAGGGCTTGTGATAAGCACTGCATAGGTCAGGGAATGTGCACAGGGCTGTCCAAGTGACCAGTGCAGTGCAAGTTCAAAGAGGCTGGGGGAGGATGCACAAGTAGGAGAGTTACCCCAGCAACTTGCAGTCTTCCCTGCTGGCTTCCCCTTTGACTTTCTGGAGATGGAAGATTGCAAATGGCACTCATGATCATTGGGCACTTGGAAACCAGTTATTGCCAAGCATTCAGATCACAATCATATGACCAAGGGGGTGCTGGAATGGTTGGAACTTTGCGAATCAGCTATATAACTACCATTCATTCAGTGCTTTCAAAGCTTTGAATGGTCACTAAACAAACGATCATAAATCAAGGATTACTTGTAAATTCGTAGCATTATGCTTGTTAACACTTTATTATTTGAACACTAGCAAATTACCTGGATTGATCCAAGAATGTCTTTTAAAGGATCTTCATAGAATTCATCTTTTCCAAAGAATAGCAACAGTTCAAAAAAGCTCCTATAAATCAAAGCAACTTGAAGTTAAAAAAAATAAGCAGAGCAAGCATATTATGTTCACAGGTTTCAATAAAGATTTTTAAGTGAAGGAGCAATGTTGACAAAGCCCTGTGCATTCTCAATCAGGCAAGCTCATTTAACTGTACTACAGCATAGAAAATTATTGACAGGATAAAATATTGGAGTAATATTCCTAATACAATGTTGAAGTAGTATGTTATGTTATATATTAGCGGACTTTTAGTGTATTATAGAATCTATGCAAACCTCCATATCATAGAATTGAAGAAATACTTTATTAAGGATCACTATAACCTAAACATTCTAATCCAATTGATGATTATAGATTCAAGGGGATTTAAATGATGAACCAACAGTTGGTGCTAATTCTTCTATCTCCAAACAGAAGGCAAGTTTTTTTCAGTAAACACATTTTTTTCAGTTTTTGTTCACATGCATATTATTCCACATCATTATAAGACAATGGATTGTTCTCAAAATCCATGTCAGATTAAAAAAAAAAGCAGTCTAATGAAACTGAACTTTAAGTCCCAGTCTACAACTGTTGGCATGCTAAAATTAAAATTGTTGTTAATCAGAACTGAACCTCTATATGTATGAGGGTGCTTATTTCTGATACCCTGAAGTTTTATATATTTGTTGTTCAGCATTTTTGTGATGATCCTTTACTAGAGCTTGCAAGTCTAGTGCCTTAAATGAAGTTATCAAATCTTTTCCACAAGACTTGAGATATTTCGCGGTAATTTATGTATAAGTGTCCAAACAATTATTTCTCATTTTTGTAGAAACAATTAGATAAAAAGGCAGCTTGATGATAATACCATACTAGGTATGGTGAGTGCAAATAATTGCAACCTATTACATTTTTATATTGGGGAATTGCTTTGGCAAGATTTGCCTAAATATAGATATGCAGTTTTCCCTTTGACTTGCCTAAAAATGAAGGATGATGATACCCAACAGCAACCTGCCCTTCACTAGATAATAATGCTTGCCTCCAGTCAGATTCCAAATATGTATTCTGCACTGGCCTAAATATGCATTTTGCACTGGCCAATGCACTATTTGATATATATCCAAGAGAGTCTGGATTGAGTTTCCTATATTTCAAACTAGTATCGGAGCCTATATAAAGATAGACTTGAGTTTGAATAAATGATTAAAACTTTTTTTTTCAATTTGAAAATGTTTTGTTGACATAGCATACAAATTATTTCATGTCTTATATTTTATTTTCTCAATTGTAACATCATTTACAACTTTATTTTAAATATGGTAATTATTCCTATCCCATAAATAAATGTTTAAACAAAGATATCTTAGTTTGGAGCAATGTTCTTTATAAAGCCCGTGTGTCCATCAGTATATTCCACACAAATTCTTAAACAGTTCTCACATTTTATACATTTGGAAAACTATGACAATGGTCTTATTCCCAAAGCTTAAAAAATTATCCTTGAAGATTAATTTTTCAAATTATCCTATACTATCCAGAAAATTAAAGAGTTTACAATAGGAAGAGCATGGTCTACTTACAAGGCTAGGCTACTTAGCACATATTGTACATGTTCACATTCATCTGGAAAAGATACACATGCAGATGTGAAACAACAGAGAGCTGTTTGGAGTACTTGAAGCTGTGGCAGAGGAACCTGCCATCTTCCAGCATAATCTTCAACAACCTGTTTGCAGAGAAAACAGTACACATAAAACTTGATCTGAAACACCATATAAGTAGGAATATAGCATTATATTCTACAGCTAAGCAATTTTTCTTTTCAATCTCACTAAACAATACAACTATAAAATCAAGTACAAAGTTATTGAAATAAGAAAAGCAATCTGATGAATCAAGATTAACCATAATTTATGACTTGAAACTACATAAGTAAGCTTTTTTGATATTAAAAAAACCTAAGATTTTGAGTCTTAATTCCATAATTGCTTTTATAGCTTTAAAAAAACAAGCATATAGTATGTAAATAAATCATACAATTATCACTCACAATGGAGAAACATAGTATTGCAAGAGGGTAGGATGTTCAACAGTATACAAGGAAATAAATCAATTTATTATCTATTCCATTTTTGACCATTTATCCTAACATTTCTCTATCATTACCCATATATAATGCATCCCACTCCCGGCTCATCAACTTTTTAACCTTAATGTGTATTATCAGTTGAAAGTCTGTTTCCTATGTATATGTATATGTATTCAATTCCTCCAAGATTAGCTGTCAAATTCTGGCTTCCAGCTTTGTTTAAAAAGTGAACAAGATGTTCAGTATTATATCTTAATAATTCTTAAAGGGGTGTATTTAAGTATGTCTTACACAGAGTTAGCATGCAAGAACTTTTTCAATAAACAGGAATTTATTATTTATAGTCATTTTTATATGATTATATTTCAGGATTTATAATCAACAGAATTTTTATTTCACTCCAGAACTATCACATTCAAAGTAACAGAAAACAAGTTCCAAAATGTTAGACGGACTGTGTACAAGAACAGTAACCTGTTTTATATTAGTAACTTAAAACATCTCATTATGAAACAGATTATCATACTTCCATCATTTTGACTTTCGAAATGTTACATTCTGAAATTGTCTTTGGATGACAGTGATTGATTTATTTACAAAAAAGCTAAATTTAATTGTCTAATAAGAAGTAATGGTAACTTTTAAATCAGCTGATTTCCTTAAAAAATAAATATATAGTATTTATACAGATACACCAATTAAATGTTGTGGCAGAAAGGCTGTATATCATATTTATATGTAGAGAAAATATAAATACATAAGATTATTTGAACCAGTATTTAATGAAGTTATATAAATAGAACTATTAGTGAATTACACTAAATAAAACTACATGAAAGAAAGTTTTAAAGCAGTGTTTCTCAACCTTGGGGAGTTTAAGTCCTGTGGACTTCAACTCCCAGAATTCCCCAGCCAGCTATGCTGATCTCTAGGATACCTGATCTCTAGGATACCTTCTTAAACTATATACAAAATCATGTAACTTAAAGAACTGCTATTTCAGTAAATACTAAAACACACTAAGAGTGATTTCCAAAAAGGGAAACCTACTTGACTTTTAATTCCAATAGATTCTCAGAGAGAGAAAAGGAATCTTTGATACATCTAACAAAAGTACTGCAAAGGTAGTTCCTTACAATCTGCTTCTACAAATAGTCCCCACTTACTAATTGCTTTCTTAACAACTATTCAAAGTTACAGCAACATTGAAAAAGGAGCTTTATGACTAGTCTCAAAGTTGCAATCTCTGCAGCATCCTGCAATCACATGATCACAATTCAGATGCTTGGCAACCAGCATGCATTTATAATAGTCACAATATATGGAAGTAACTTGATCACAATTTACAATCTTCACAGCCAGTTTCCAACAAATAAAGTCAATGTCAGAAGACATAAGTTATAGTCACATGATGTTGCATTTAACCACAGGTGATTTGCTTAATGACTGCAGGCAGAAGTGATATCATAAGTTGGCACAGTCTCATATTTATGAACATGTTGCTTAGCAATTGAATTGCCATTCCCATTTGCAATGGGTGAATGCGGATTAACTAGCCTTATTTTTCCCCCAAGAAAACAGTTCATGCTATAGAAATGTATTTCTACTTTTGTTAAAAGGGGGAAAAAAGTAGCACCATTCCATGTCTGAGAAATAATAGAAAACTTACAATTCAAAACATTCATAATTTAAGAGGCCTGTTAGCCCTCTGGTTTACAAATAAAACATAGCATCTACTCAGAAACAAGATACTCCGTACAATTGCTATAAGGATTTTTGCCTCAGTATCAACATGCTACTAGCTATTATGATTGATTGCACAGTTAGCCAGATGTTTAGATTAGATCCAGCATTTTAATCCATCTATTGAGCCCTTCCCAAAAACCTGGGATAAGTAGAAATTGTTGCTTGATGGTATTAAAGGTATTGTCACAGTTTGTAAGCTGGTCCAAGTGAAGCTGCCTATTGCAACTGAATGATAGTTTTCAATGTTGATGGTGTTCAAATGGTGCTCCAGAGGTTTTTGAATTTTTATTAATTATCATTATTAGGGTCAGTGGCAGTCAACTACAGGTTTAGACTGGTTTTGGCATTTTAAACCATCTATCAAATCATAGTTTATCCCTTTTTTAAAATATATTTGATGAACTCAAGTTGGTAAATATATTTAAACATATTTAATACTCCTGCTTCCTATTTTCCTACAATTACTGTGTAAGGTATGCTATTCTGAGAAAGTTATCCAGTTTATGCCTAAGAAAGGCCTAGAACTCATCATCTCCCAATATATTGGTATTGGGGGGGGGGCCTGCAAAGAAAAATACCCATAAAAGTATGATTTAAGTATCAAATTTTATTTTAAAAAAGTTAAGTGTCCCAAAATTAAAAACCAGCTCCTAATCATAATCATATGATTAATTATCATTAATCAATGTGATGTTTGCTACATAGCATTGAATTCAATACATAAATCAAAGCTTGGAGTATGTACTTACACTGTAACCAAACCAAACAGTATATAACTATAAATCACAAGAAATAAAAGAAATACTGCTTGTGCTTTCCCTGTGTGTAAAAAGATCAATTCAACTGGAAAAGCCGTCAAATGTCAATAAATGTATATAACATCAGACTTCACTCCAACGTGCTGATAATTACACCTGTTTCTCCCATTGAAATGTCTAAATGAAATATTACATTTATTTTTACACCCCGTTATAGTGAAAAATTGGAATGTCATATCTTCACCTTCAAACCATTAAAAAACTACGTATTCATAAGATTACAGTATGAGTACACTTATTATGTCAATTCAAAGTTAGCAAGTCATTCACGTGAAATGCTCTCCATATTTTTTAAAATGCACCTTACTTTGGAAGGTAAAACACCCTGATTAGAGAGGCACATCACTGTCAAATTAAAAACAAATGATTAATATAAAATAGGAAGATCAGACAGGTAGTTTATATCTAACACACAAATCTAAATACATTATCTGTATGTATACACAAAATCAGTTTGCTAAATAAACAACAATGGCTGATTATTACACTTTTTGCTAAGTCAAGTTGAAAAACACATTATGATTATGAGTAATAAATTAACTCTAAATCTTAATTATTATTTTTTGTTTTGCTGACACCAAAATATAACCGATTTTGGATAGCTCTATATTATTTTTTAATCACTATCACACTGATTTCAAAACTGTGATACATGATTTATAGGAACTGGCTTTTGACTCTTTTCTCGGGATAAACTGATATACTATAGAGTAATCGGGATCTCAAAACAAATTTTAAAAGCCTGTTGTAAGAAAAATGTGCTAGAAATGCTTCAGCTCATTTATAGGATTAAATATGATTTTTAAAAATAATTTTCTGCAGTAAAATAAAAATATTATCTGCATAATCTTAGTGGTATTATTTACGTTTATGTTTACAGCATATATTGACTTACATTTTAAATATAGACACATCTCATCTATGCATGTCATGACACTAAAACAGCCCAAAATTACTTCTAATTTTAACACATCAAAAACTTTAATAGATTTTAGACTACAGTACATTTTATTCAACAAAAAAATTTCAGACTTACTAAATTACATTGCATTTATATACTAAAAACTTAGACATGCAATTAAATTAATGCTTCATTTACATTATTCTATAAATGTTCCAGTTAGGAAGAAAATTATTACACATATTAATCCTATTCTGAGGCAAGACTCAATAATTTCAGATATAAATATTCCACTGAATTATACCTACAGCATGGAAACTGACGCTTGGACAAAGAAAATGGGTACTCCATGTTCTACTTATAACCAAAAGATTCTTCAGTATTAGAAAGAAAAATATATGCCCCAATTCATTAAACACTTTGCAGTTTGTTATTAGCAAGTCATCAATAAATGACTTATCAAGATAGATTTATAATTATAATAAAATATAGTTACCATTCATTAAAAGTGATGTAGAACTTTTATATTTATATGAAAATTTATTAATATGTACTCTGTATGAAATCATTCTTTTTCAAAATGTTTGTTTTGAATTCAATTAAGAGACTTTTTTAAAAAGCCAGGAACAGAGAACTGGAATGAAGTCTTTATATCGGTGGCATGGAAAATATAACAATACTATTGTTTTCAAACTTGTTTTTACACAGGATTTTATTTGTGGATTTTTATGTGTATTTCCTATTCTGGATATAGAAAAGCATCCAGTATACGGCCACAGAGGTAAGCTTCTATCAGATATATACATTAATATTAATAATTCTCAGAAGTATTATAGAAATATACTTATATATTTCAAATATATATGTTATATATTCAAATAACATATGAAACATATTTAATATATTATTTCTAAATCAAAAGTCAATATGAACCACACATCAAGTTACATCATAATTCTCTTCATTTTGTGTAAATGTGATACAGTAAAGGAATCCAGACACTGAGGTATTTCAATCATATTTTATGGCATAGCTTTGTGTGAATATAGTAAACTGTGGTTTATTTCATAAACAATGGCTAAATGATTAATTTGATATATGAATCCAGCCACCGCTTTAGTACAATTTTATTTGAATAACAAAGCAAATGTATTCACTAAAAAAAAACACAAAACAATTGTATTTAATCAGACTTATTTTCAGGTAAGGATAGGATTCCACCTAAATAATGTAGAAATGCACAAGGCTAGCATAAAACGAAAAATCATGTTTAGACAAGTTCACTTATATTCTAAGTCTCTCAAACATAAACAATTAAACACAATTTAAAAATCATGACAAAGCAATGATATAATCAGAAGATTCTTCATACATCACACATGCCAAACACTTAAACATGTGGCTTTTTTCTGAATATGTTAATTCAGGTAAATGTGCATGATCTTAATTTTCATTTGGGCCTTTATTCCAACCCCACCACAGAACTATCTTTAAATTTCCCAAGCCATGTTGGGATGAAGTAGAACATATAGAATTCAAGATCATGGGATCTTATAAAAGAAAATGCCAGCAAAGTAATACATGGCAGGGTTAGAATGAAGTGGTAAACTTAAGTCAACACACCTGTAACAACCCATCGAGATCTTCCCTCCAGCTTCCATCCCATCAAAAAAAGATACGCACTGGCAAAATATCTTCCGTAGGTTCTTAATGGGAAACTAAACAACTACCGGTAATAGCAATAAGGCAGCAACGAGGTAATGAATTCCCATTCAAAACAGTGGGATATTTTCTCAGCACCCCTCATTCATGCTCACCAAATGCAAAGTTTTACGACAAGGAGGCGGTGGTCTGGGAAGAACTGACCCCCCCCCCACCAAACCCCTTTAAAAAACTAGCTTTTTCTTATTGCCTCAAAATCCATGCAAATGACCAGCTGTCTGAAAGGAATATAAATCCTTCCATTCCCCACTATCCTGTCAGAGCTGAAGAAGCTTCTTGGATAAGAAGCGAAACATCTTCACAGAAAAAAAACAAGGAAGTCCAGTTGCCTCCTGAAAAAAGCACCTCTGAGACAACCATGAAATGGATGACTGAGAATCTCCACAGACTTTTAACGTCAATTAAAAAAAAAATCCAAGAGGGCCACCAACTCGTGGAGCTTCGGAACGGACCCCTCCCCACACTCCCCTCACCCAGGTAACAGCAAATGGAGCGGCCCGCGATAGGACGAGGGGGGAGGCCATTTGCTGCACCTCAGAACCCCTAATCCCGTCAGACCGTGAGGTAAAAGGAAAGGGCCAGGGCCAGTTTCCAAGCCACCCAGGGTGACAGTGACAAGGACAAAATGAGAGAGAGCGCTCGAGGAGCGGAAAACTGACGTCGCGAAAAATCAACTCCCCCCTCACGGACAGCCGCCTGCTCGGCCACGGGCGACTTCCTACCGCTCTCCCTAGAAGGGAGCGAAGGAAGAGAAAAGGCAGAAATGAAAGAAAACCGGGTTCCTTCGCCTCGACCGGAGAAAGGGGGAAGTGCCTCCGGGTAGACTCGCCCTCTTATTTATTTTTTCTCCCTACAGCCGCTAGCTCTGCAAAAGGCCGAAACAGAGGGAGGGAGGGGAACCTCCGACATTTTCGCCGCAGAAAGATCGGTCCGAAATTCCTTGGCGTCCATCGCTCTGCTGTCTTCGCCCCGCAAGTCCCGGAGTGTCAGTCTACGGGGGCGGGACTAGCCACTCACCTGGCAGAAGCGGTAGCAATAATACTGGCTGCTCAGGGCAGGAGACAATCCGGCGGGAAGATGCGGCTCATTAATGGCCTTCAGTTCCTCGCCGAGTCTCTCCGATTCCTGGTCACTCTCGTCTTCCGCCATGCTGCTCTGGCCGCCCTGCGCGTACCGAGTCCCAGCTCGCTCCCCCGCCCCGATCTGCCGGATGACCCGCCCTCTCGGTCGTGTATTTCAATTCCGGCACCGCCCCCCGCGGTGCCTTGTTAGTGGTGCGCGCGCTTGTCAGTCAAGCGCCGATCCCTCATCCTCTGACCTACAGAACCTTCATTCCAGCGAACCCCGGTGGTTGAGCCCCCGATTGGCCGAGCTGGATTCCCTGTTCGAAGCTGAACTTTCGGCAGCACTTTTTGATTGGTGGAGAGTGTTATCGATAAAATGAGCTAAGCCCCGCCTTTACCCTTGTCGATTGGGCCCACATTTCATCCTTCAAAGTAAACATCTCCGCCCACTCCTTGCCAGTGGGCCACAATAGCGGTACAACTTCCGTTCTTTCCTTCACATGAGTGGTGGAAAGCTTTGTCACTCTCTTCCTCGTGAGCCACCCAGAACGGTGCTCACTTTTTCTACCCTCGCAAGAGGTGACTCGCTTGTAGCAACGCCTTCATTGGAAGAGGTGTTGCTAGGGGGTTACATCCCGCCTTCCTCGACGAACCAAAGAGAGGAAACAAGTCAATTCAGCCCTACCATCCGCCGCCGCCCCCCCCCCTCTCCCCGCGCGCGCCTCCGTGCGCCTGTCTGTCTGGCAGGCGGCTCCGCCAAGTCTGACCCACGCCATCGCGGAGTTTTTTGGGGGGCAAGCACGGGAGCAGATCGGAGGTTTGGTCTCGGTCAATGTGGGAGCCGAACTCCGCGCTGTCAGGATCGGTAAGGACGGGTCGGAGAGAGACGTTTTTCGTTGCATCAAGTGCAGCACTGTAACCCACCTTCTCTTCTCCCCCCCCCCCGCATTCCCCCAGGCGGGGAAGAAATACGAGTCTCGGTTGTGTGGAACGAGATTGATGGGAAGGGAAGGAGACTCAGTCGGGGTTGGGGAAGAGAGAGGGGTTTGGAGGAATGTCAGAAAGGGGGAGGGGGCTCAGAAAATTTCAGGTGATGGAGAAAAAAAGCCTTTGCACAGTCGATGGAGAGGGCTCTCCTTTAAAAGGAGGGGAGGGACGGCAGAATGTCTGCTGGGGACACAGCTTGAAAGAGGTTGCACCTGGTGGGAGGGACGTTTTCTGTTAATATAATGGGCATTTCTGAGCCAGCCAACTGTACAGCTGACCAGGGTTTATAGAGACTTGGGGGGTGGGGGATAAGTTTGCCACCTTGAAAGTATTTACATGGGAGAGGATTCATCTGATTTTGGAATAGCCGAGGGTTTGGGGTTTTTGTTGTTGTTAGTTGCGAAGTCGTGTCTGACCCATCCTATGGACAAGATTCCTCCAGGCCAGTGGGTCTCAATCTTCCTAATGCCACGACCCTTTAATACAGCTCCTCATGTTGTGACCCCCAACCATAAAAATATTTTCTGTTTTCCGTATTTTTTTGAAAATAAGTGTTTTCCAATGGTCTTAGGCGACCCCTGTGAAAGGGTCGTTTGACTCCCCAAAGGGATTGCGACCCATAGGTTGAGAACCACTGCTCCAGGCCTTCCTGTCCTCTACCATCCTCTGGAGTCCATTTAAGCTCACGCAGACTGCTTCAGTGACTTCATCCAGCCACCTCATTCTCTGTCATCCCCTTCTTCTTTTGCCCTCCATCTTTCCCAGCATTAGGCTCTTCTCCAGTGAGCCCTTCTCTTTGGTGGCCAAAGTATTTGAGTTTCATCTTCAGGATCTGGCCTTCTAAAGAGCAATCAGTGTTGATCTTCTTTAAGACTGAACGGTTTGATCGCCTTGCAGTCCAAGGGACTCGCAGGAGTCTTCTCCAGCACCATAGTTCAAAGGCCTCAACTCTTTGGCGTTTAGCCTTTCTTATGGTCCAACTTTCATAGCCATACATTGCAACAGGGAAAACCATAGCCTTGACTGTACACACTTTTGTTGACCGACCCTTAAATATACAGGAAAAATAGAGATGCAGTTCTGAGACCATTCCCAGTAGATAACAGTGCGGGACAGAATAGGTATGTATTCTGGCAAGTAATCCCACTGTCTTCAATTTTACTTCTGCCCAAGGGAATGTGCATAGGACTGCGTCCCTGAATGCTCTTATTAAGCATAAGAGCCATTCAAGAGAGCCCCACTTACTCCTGAGCAAATATGCTTGAGTATGTGTTCTGAGGCTGCAATACTGAATTTCAGATTATTAATAATTTGATTATCAATATTAATGTTACATAACAGAATAAAGAATAAGAGTTGGAAGGGACCTTGGAGGTTTTCTAGACCAACCCCCTGCTCAAGCAGGAAACCCTACACTATCTCAGACAAATGGTTGTTCAATCTCTTCTTAAAAATCTTAGGTGTTAGAGCATTCACAAACTTCTGGAGGCAAGTCGTTCCACTGATTAATTGTTCTAATTGGCAGGAAATTTCCCCTTAGTTCTATGTTGCTGCTCTCCTTGATTATTTTCCATCTGTTGCTTCTTGTCCTGCCTTCAGGAGCTTTGGGGAATAGGTTGAACACCTCTTCTTTGTGGCAGTCCTTTAGATACTGGAACACTGCTAGTCCTTCTTTTCATTAAACTAGACATACCCAGTTCCTGAAATTGTCCATATGTTTTAGCTTTTAGTCCCTAATCATCTTTATTGCTCTTCTCTGCACTCTTTCTAGAATATCAACTTTTATATTGTGACCAAAATTAAATGCCAATAGTTTATTTCATTAGATGCCACTAATTGTTTCTAGCCCCAGATTAATTTTGGGAAGTAATCCTTATTGTTACTCATATATTGCAAAATAAAAATAGGTATGGTATATGATTTGCTATTATCCCACACTGTTCAAACAAGAAGCTGTGTTATTGTCAAATACACAAACCGAGAAGAACAGTTTTCTACTGATCCTACCTTTGCTCTTCTTGAGTGTATCATGTTGAGTAGTAAAGCTTATAGGACTTCCACTTGTGTTTGCTTAAACCATAGTTCACCTTTAGCCACAATTCACATACTTTGCAGGTAGGGATCTTGATGAAGCTTGGAACTTAACTGCACAGAGGACTCAATTTTAATTCAAAAGAAAGTTGAATGAATCCTATCTGAAGTATAGCTCATTCTAGCCAGGCAAATGTGGGATCCGCCAGATACACCAAGTTAAAATAGCTTTTTTATGCCTGACAGGTGAAATAAATTTTACACATTATAATTGATCTTGTGCACATTGTAGCGTAAACATTGTATAACATTCTGGAATATCATTCTTGAACATGTATAAAACAGATTTGTTACATTTTGGGAATAAGTGTTTGGGCTATCAAAGTATATACTGCAAAACCTAGAAGAAGTGTGACAAAGTTTGGTTTTTCACTTTAAAATTAAATTGCTTTAGGTAATTTGCATAATTAATATCCATGCATTTAATAAATTTTCCCCTTTGTTACATTAAAAAAACACAGATTTTGGAGAGACTGTCCTCCAAGTGCTTGGATGCCATTGGTTGGGTATCCCTAATCGTTCTGATTTTAACTGACAATAAAATATAACCTCAAGTTGAATGACCATTAAAAAAAAAACCTATCCTGAATCATCAGAGAACCTTATACTTTCCACAGATCAAGTAACTTCTTTACCATGTTTTTTTTTTTAATGGTCCAGTTTTTGTGTTGTTTTGCTACAAAATCTTGATTTGTCAAATCACAAAGTTTAAATAGAAGCATGCTTTAATTTGTAAGATTATGTATTTGTGTTAAGTATATATTCCCCAAATATCAAGTAATTAACACATCAAATTTAGAAAATATGGTTTTCAAGCATCTACAAAGAGATGGGGAAGAGATAGGGAAAGAAAATGGGAGTGCTAAAAAAGCATTTGACCTCAGTTTTAAATTAGGGACAAGAATCACATTCTGGGCTGCCGGGAAAAATAAATGATTAGATTAATATCATATTTATCTATAGTTGATATTGCCACAGTGGTTGCATTCTGAAAAAAGTTCTTCAGAATTTAGGAAGAGATGAGACAGATACATAATCTTCAGGTGGTTTCAGTTGTTTCAAGTTTATGATCACAAATTTGATAATAAATACCAGAAATGATAAGAGCTTCTGTATAGTTAAATATTCTGAACTTTCTTAAATCACTTTAGGTGTACTAAAATGGATTTTTTTAATACCTGCGTTAAACTATTTGAGCTAAGAAGAGCTTATCTTCTCTGATTCCTGCCTAAAAGCTAGCCATAAAAAGTTCATTAGGAAAATTACATTATCTCTAAAATTTGGCAAGTAAGTACTGCTATTGAGAAACTAGAAATTAAAATATATATTCACTTTGGGCATGATTTTTTTCCTTCTTAATATTATTATAATAGTATCAAAGCACCATTTGTTGGTAGTCTACGTCAGTTGGACATGCAGCTGCTAATGGATCAAGAATCAGTATAAGGCTTTAGAGATCTCCATTACTACTAGAAAGGCACATTGTTTCAACCTTCCTAATTCATCAGTTAACCTTTCTTTTCCCTTTCGACAAGGTTTTCAACAAACCAAATTGTTTTATCTTGTTCCATTAATGCAATAATTTTTAAACTAGTTTGTTGTCTGGGCCATTTAAACCTAAATCATTAAATATTTTAATTTGAAGTTAACAATTTAAAATATAGATAGTTTATAAAATAAAATGTTGAAATATTCCATTAATTTTTATAGGTAACAAAATTTAGTGATGGTGATTCTGTGGAAAACATGCTAGAATTCTAGCTCATAAAAGTATTTTTTTTTAAATTGACAGCAACAATTGTGTAATAAATCAGAAGCTAATCTGACAATGTTTTAGCTGCGGTGAATTTCTAGTACTAATTTTCAAAAAGAAGAAGAGCGAATTAGGTTTCCAAAGCAATCAAAAGTGTCTGCTTGGTATTTTACTATGAGGCTGAAATTTGATCTGACAGCTGAGTGGACTTAAGCTGATACTGTATGAAGACTCCTTTTTCAACACTTTGTCATGCTTTCATCTTTGTCCAGAATAGGTGTGCTCTTCTTCCAAAGTTTTTTCAGTGAGGGTCTTTTATCTTTTTTTTTAATCTAATAAAAGTGATTTCTAAAACAACATATACACAATTGCAAAAAAAAAAAGCTTCTCAATAAATTCTGTGAAACATAGGGACAAAACAGTAAGAAAAAGATCCCTGTTCATCTTAATTTTTCTAGGCTGCATGTCTTTGCTAGATGTCAGCAAACAGTACAATAATAATAACCTCTCTGTTAGGATTTATTTATACTGTGTTTCTGAACAGAAATGTATTTTGAGGATAAAGAACTCTAGAACATCTAAGCCATTTGTGCTTATGTGATCTTTGAAAAAAAAAACCTTCTTCTACCAAGAAAACTAAGAAATCCAATGGTAATAGACATGACAGGCTTTAAAGATATGTGCTTTCTGACCAATTAGGGAAGGTGCCATTCAAGTAATTTTTTGTGATTAAAATGGTTGATCTACAAGCTGTTTAAAAATAAAAATTAGTTTCACATAGTTGTGTACAAAATGTGTTTTGATCTGTATCAGGTAAGAAATATATTTTGTGTGGCAGTTCTATGAGTATTTTGATAATATTCATATTATACTATGAAATATTCAAGCTCTGTATTTTTGGATTTCAAGTAAGGGTTGAAATGAAATACTTTGGTTGTCCATGATTTTAAAAGAGCCAATAGAGACATGTAGTACATACATACAGCATACCAAATAATGTGTTGGATCTTTAAATACAGTGGAACTCACTGAACTTGCAAATTCCCCTCCTTTTCTGCAATTTGCAGAGTTAAATTGTAAAATGTATACCTTCAATAGGAAAGCTCCAGTATAAAATAGTTTCCTCCATGAAGGAAGAATGGATCTGTCTACACAAAGACAAAACCATATTTCTGAAATACCTTAGCACTCCTTTTGTTTTGCTTTGTGGTGTCCATATTTTTTAAATATTCTGTTTGTTTCATCACAGGAAATGGTATCAATATGTATTGTCTGCACTGGTTAAAGCATCAGTTATAGTATACAGTCATGTGAAGAAAAAAGTACACCCTCATCTATCAAGGGGTAATAAAAATCATCTGGTCCTTTGCAGTTCCGAAAAGTAGGTAAATACAACCGCAGATGGACAACGCATGACATATTACACTGTCATTATTTTACAAAAAGAAATCCAAAATGGAAAAGGACACTCTTACTGCTTTCATATGTATGAAGAGACTAAGTAGCAGCCAGGTGCTGCTAATCAAGTGCCTTTGATCAATTGATCATCAGCAGGTGTGATTACCTCTATAAAAGCCAATGTTTTAGAGTTTTCTGGTCTCCAGCATTGTAGTGTGTGTTAATGCCAAAGAGTTAAGACATCAGCAATGATCTTAGAGAAGCAATTGTTGCTGTCCATCATACTGGGAAGAGTTATAAGGCCATTTCAAATAATTTAAAGTTCATCATTCTATAGTGGGGAAGATTACTCACAAGTGGAAAGCATTCGAGACAGTTGCTGATTTTCCCAGGAGTGGACATCCCAGCAATTTCATCCCAAGGTCAGATTGTGCAATGCTCAGAGAAAATGCAAAAAATCCAAGAGTTACATCTCAGACTTCACAGGCCTCAGCATGTTAAATGTTAAATTTTATGACAGTATAATTAAAAACAGATTAAATGTTTTGTCTGCAAGGGTTGCCAGGAGAAAACTTCTTTTCTCTAAAAAGAACATGGCAGCCTTTTGCAAATTTGCATATGAACTAATCACTAGACTTCTGGAATACTGTCCTTTGGACAAACAAGATGAAAGTAGAAGTGTTTGGCCTTAATGCCCAGTGCCATGTTTGGCAATAACCAAACATAGCATATCAGCACAAGCATCTCATACCAACCATCAAACACAGTGTGGAGTAGTAATGATTTGAGCATGTTTTGCAGCCACAGGACCTGGGCATCTTGCAGTCATTGAGTCGATCATGAACTCTTCTATATACCAAAATATTCTAGAGTCAAATGTGAGGCCACCTGATTGTTAGCTGAAGCTTGGTTACATTGTGTCATGTAACAAGACAATGATCCCAAACACACTAGCAAATTGGAATGGCTGAAAAAGAAAATCAAGATATTGCAATGGCCCAGTCAAAGTCCAGACCTCAACCCTATTGAAATGCAGTGGCGGGACCTCAAGAGATCTGTGCATAAACAAATGATCACAAACTTCAATGAACTGAAGCAATGTTGTAAAGTAGAATGGGCCAAAATTCCTCCACAACTATGTGAGAGACTGATAAAATCATACAGAAAACATTTACTTCAAGTTAGGACTGCTAAACGGTGGTTCTGCAAGCTATTAAATCACAAGTTATACTTAGTTTTTCACACATGGCTTCTCCATTTTGGCTTTCTTTTTATAAAATAAATGATGGCATGGTGTTGCTGTTGTACGTCATGTGTTGTTCATCTAAAGTTGTATTTACCTACTTTTAATAGCAATAGCAATAGCAGTTAGACTTATATACCGCTTCATAGGGCTTTCAGCCCTCTCTAAGCGGTTTACAGAGAGTCAGCATATTGCCCCCAACAATCCGGGTCCTCATTTTACCCACCTCGGAAGGATGGAAGGCTGAGTCAACCCTGAGCCGGTGAGATTTGAACAGCCGAACTGCTGATCTAGCAGTAGCCTGCAGTGCTGCATTTAACCACTGCGCCACCTCGGCTCTCTTAAGAACTGCTAAGGCCAGATGATTTTTATTATAATACGTAAAACCATAGAACTCAAAGAAGGTGGACTTACTTTTTCACATGACTATGACTAAATTCTATTGTACAAATTGAATATAAATGCAAAACCACACACTTTCTCTCTTTTCCCCCCCCCAGTTTATTAAAGGCAGCAATGGAACGATTTGATGTAAAGCCACCTCCTTCCCGGAGCCGTTCAAAGACTGCTTTATATGTGACCCCTCAGGATCGTGTGACTGAATTTGGCAGTGAACTGTATGAAGACGGGGGGAAACTCTATTGCAGTTTTTGCAATGTAGTCCTGAATCATGTCCGCAAGTCTGCAATCAATGATCATCTGAAATCCAAAACACACACCAAACGTAAGGGAGAATTTGAAGAGCAAAGTGTGAGAAAGAAACCACGGACCCTGACTGCCTCTCTGCAGTGCAACAGCTCAACCCAGACAGAGAAACCCAGTGTAGTCCAGGACTTTGTAAAAATGTTTCTGGAAGCTAGCATTCCTCTTGAGAAGGCTGATCACCCCGCTGTACGAGCATTTCTCTCTCGCCATGTGAAGAATGGGAACTCCATACCCAAGGCCGACCAGTTGAGGAAAATCTACTTGTCTGACGGGTTTACAAATCAGCTTATTAAATCTGAAGAACACTGAGAGGAAAGCCACTTGGTTCTAGGTGTCAAGTGTTACAATTGCATAGCAGTGATGTGGTTTATTTTTATATTCATGCACCTGCAATAGGTTTTGTATTGTAAAATGACAATCTGTCTTGGAATGCAGTGGTGTACAACCAAGAGTTGATGGCTATAGAATAAGAGATTGCTGAATTTGGAAGGGGGGAAGGAGGGGGGCAGGAAGTGGTAAGTAGGTGCCATATTGCTTAGTTTGTAATCCCAGTCCTTAATACCGTAGAAAACTTCAATTGTTTCTTTTACAATATATTTGTAAGTGAACAAATTAATTATGGTTGCCCCCAAGTGTTTAATTTAGGGCTTTAGTACTAAAGATGTCTTATATGTGTCATATTTATTAGGCCCATGTTCTTTGTATAAATTTATCTTCAATCTAACTGTATTTAGAGTTTTTACAGTATTCTTGAACTTTCATTTCCAATGGAGTTGTCACAGTTCTGCTGTGCAAACAGCTATTCAAAGCTTGCTTTTTTGTTTGATTCTCTATAATTCCATACAGCATAAAGTAATTCACTCTTGCAAAACCCACCTAAGTGCCAATGCACTTTACATTGAAGGTAAACCATAGCACCTGCATTTAGATTTTTATTTCCATAGACCTCCATTTGGATATAAATGGACTTCCTGAAAGCAAAAATGTATTAGGCACTTGGCAGGAGTAAAGAATGGTTTTGCAAGGTTTTAATTAAACTACAATTAATCAGAAGAAGCCACAGGCTCCAATAACAGCATTATGTATTATAAGCAGTTTCTTATCAATGGCAGGGATTTGCAAATAACGTCTCTCTCAAATGTTATTTTCTGACATGCTATTTCTATTTCTTAAAATTAGGAAATAGAATTGTCCTGAATATCATTTGAATATCTAATACTGTATGTTTGAACATTGCTTCAGTTTGGATCTGTGTAAATACATGTCTGAAACAGATTTGCTGTCATCCCCTTCTTTACTTAAATACATGCTTCCTTTTCTTGTTTGAAATTCTATGCTGGGAGCATATGATTATTGATAATTTAACTCTTGATTAAAATGTTCTTCATGTGTTACTTAGCTGCAAGGTATAATTTTGCCCAAGTTAAGCATGTTTAATTAAATAGTGCTTAAATCCTAATGATTTAAATTATTATATAATACCTGCTAAATTTTGTTTAAAAAAAGTTAATGTTCTGAGATCATGCCCCAATTAATTAAATTTTACTTTATAGTAAATTAGCAAAAGAAGCAGAGCAGTTTCTTATGACTGCTATGATTACAAGTACTACAATGAAATGCACACTCCATTCCAGTGAGGGAAAATACAATGGAACTTTTCATTATTGAGATCGTATTTGAATTAGATCATGCATTATTGTCTTAGTCTTGCATATTTATCTTTCTTTGAATTCAAATTGATAGACAGGAAGCTAGGCTGCTACCCTGTTGCACATTTGAAATGTCCATCAAGTTCATAACAAAGCTTAAAATTAATAAAAGTCTAAGCTCTGCTTGGTTTATTAAAGTCTGGTGCTTATACAAATTGTTCTCTGACTTTTTCCAAGGAACTGCTTGGCATATTAAAAATTGTGACTTTCATCTTTAATTGACAGATTTGTGTACAAAAATTAAGCAGGTCTTTTTTGTAAGAGTGAACCCCAGAAAGAGTCTTCCTATGGGGTGAGTCATTAATAAGTCGTCATTAAATTTTTATCCTTTAATTTCAGTAGTTTTGTTTGTAAATATTATTAAGTCTGAATATCGCCTAAAGTTTCTTCTAATTTTGGAGGAGCTTCTAGCTTTCTTCACACAAAAAAAAACCATTTCCTTTTCTACTGTTTGTGCTTTTTTATTTCTTGTCAAGTTACTCTAAATTTTGCAAAAATTTAAAATTGCTTCAAATTATCCATCAAAGCTTGGGGGCAAATGAGATTGTTCTTCCTTAGCTGAACATTAGTAAGCCTTAATTTAATTACCTATACCTGGAGCACAATTTCCGTAACAAAGTGCTAGCGTGCATAAGTCATATGGCAGCATAAACAAGGCCTGCTAATGGTATTTTTTGAATTTCTAAGACTACCATACTTGTTGAGTTTTAAAATATGTCCATAACTATATTAATTTGCAGAAGTGCATTTCAATTTTATAAACAGGTCTTGTCATTATAAAATTTAGGATTAGATGAGTGCCTCTTCCTACAAACTAAGCTCGCTATAATAAATTAAAATTAGGAAAATGTCATAATTTTTATGTAGGATTTTGTTTTTGTTTTGCAGACTGAACGGATACTTACTTTTGTAGAGATTTTTCTTTGCTTATATAAAGAAATTTGTCTGTTAGTTTAAATAGGGGACTGTAATGCATTATCATCAATAGATGTGTATTTCTTGTCTGCCTCATTCATAAATCTGTTTTGTATGAAGGTTAGTAACAGAGTGGAGGCCCTGTATGTAATGCAATGGAAAATGCATGTTTTAAATTTCATAAGATTATATCATTCTGCTACATCGCTACTTCCATTTGCCATCTTGTACATTAACAAGGACATACCAGCAGAAGCCTTCTGTATGTTTTCTTTTCACTGTTCCAGCTAACGTACAGAATAGTAGTCCGTGTATCTTCCCAGGTTTCTCAAATGGCTTACCACAAAGTGATTTATAACTTACTCCATAGTAAGTTACATAAGTCTGAAAAGACTGCAGCCTAACAGAGGGAAAAAGTAAAATTGTCTTAATCTGCATGAACAGTAAAAATCATGGCAAGAGGCATAACACTTTTTTTAAAAAAATCACAATTTTAAATGTGCAAATGAGATCCAGAGGAGCAAACGAGACCCCTGCTTTTATTATTTTAATAAAATTTGTGCATATACAGTGAACAAGGAAATCAGTAATGCTATCCAACCAAGATAATACAAGATTGTTAAATCAGATTTACTGATCAACTATATGGACAGAAAAAGCCAAGGCTGCAGTCTTCTACTTGAGTACTTGAAAGTAACTTGTTTTGGATTTTCTGTGAAAAGTGCTTCTAAATAAATTGCATAAAATCAGGCTACATAAATGTAATTTTTAGGCATAAGGCTATATCTGGCAACTTGGTATTTGTGTTCAAGACAAGCTTGTATTCAGGTTTTCTTAGAACTGAAGTGGGTGCATATGTGCACATTGTGTGGGAAAGACAAATGTTAGGGTTTTTGAAAATATATTGAATGAAACAATTTTGATAATCATAATGTTGGATATAAGCATCAGATTCAAAATATCCTGAATGGGTGAATAAAGATACTAATAATGGTCTGTTGAATATAGACTTAGCTTTACTCCCAGAAGATCAATGGATCTTGGTCATTGTTTGCTTTTCACATTAATTTTAATAGAATTTAAGTATAGCCAATGAGAATTAAGCTGCAATAAATTTAGATGAGCTTTCTTCCATGTGGAACTATTCTGAATTGGTCTTCAAATATTTGATGCCTATCTGATTATCGTTTTTTTTTTTAAAAAAAACTAATTTCTAATGCCAACTTTCAAGCCTAATACTGGATTGAAAAAAAAGTTTAGTTTTTTTCAGTCTAGTTTATTATAGAAAGTATTTCTTTTTCTAGCTAAGGAATGTTCTTACAACAACATCCAAAATTTTAACACTTACATTTTTGAGAGTTAATTGATTGCAACCATACAAAATTTAACTGCTAAATTCTTAACTTAATTCTGTGTCTCTCTGGTAACATTTTTTCCTTTGAACAAAATAAGGAACATAATTATAATGTAATAATTGCATTTAATTTATAGATGCATATTGTATGAATAACCTTGCTACCCTTTTTTACTATTCTATCTTTGAATTTGCTGCTAGGTTGATTTTTCTTTGGTTTGTTTGTTTGGTTTGGTTTTTGGTTTGCTCATGCATGTTGAGCATTCATTGTCTTTATGTTTTTAATGCTCTGTGTTAACTTTACAGAATAAAACATTTTAAAGCAAAGACTGCTTGAAGCAAAATGTTATATTTAAAAGCATCAACGTACTAATGATATTTTTTGCTTTCTTCTATTGCTCTTTGCTCTTTACACTAAGAATGAATATCTTAGTATAATTAATTGCTTTGCTTCATTATATGAGGAAAAAGTTGTCAAATTATTGAATATAATGACACTAGCCTGAATTGTATTTTAAAACTGCTCTTCCTTCAAAAAATAGTTCAGGGAAATATGTATGGATTTTTTCCATCCCAGTGCCCTGCAAGTTTTATTTTTATAATATTAGACTGAGAGTTAGTGATTGGTCTGAGGCAGATTGGGAGCCTCAAAAAGAAGTAGGTATGAACACAGATTTCCTTACATGCAGCCCAGGGTGGTACTAACTTCCCTACCGGTTCGCAAATGTGAGCATGCACACACACTTTCTTCGCTTGCACGTGCCACCTCTGTGCATGCGCACAGCCTTCCGCGCATGTGCTTTTGCCGAAAAAGGCCTAAATGGGATGCCGAGCAGCTGCAGTGAGTGAGTGAGCCACACATTATTTCCGCTACCGGTTCGTGAGAACCAGTCCAAACCGGTAGAATATCACCTCTCATGTAGCCCAACATTAAATTCTTTTTTAAATTGTCTCTCTGAAGATGATAGCTACTTTTTCTTCTGCTCTATTGTGTCCATTTCTCCAAAACTTCCCAGCCAAGTCCCTGCAATATTCCTGGCAAGGTTTTTCAGAAGTGGTTTGCCATTGCCTCCTTCTTAGACCAACTGATGCAAGAGTAAGCAGAAGCAATATTATGCATGGCCAACAAGG